CGTGGGGCAGGCGCTCGCGCTCCGCCTCGAGGCGCACGCGGAGCGGTCGCCGCTGCCGCTCCCCAGGGCGGCGCTCGTGCTCGTGGACCGCACGGCGGACCTCGCCGCGGCCTGCGCCGCGTCGCCGGCCTGCGTCGACCGCGCGCTGCGGTACCTGCCGCGCGCGGCGCCGCGGTCCGCGGACGTGGCGCTGGGAGCTGGGGACGAAGGAACCAAAGCCGGCGCGCCGCTCTCGGCCGTGGAGAACCTGCGCACGCTCTACGGTATCACCCCGAGCCTCGCGGCCGGCGACCGGCGGCTGGTTCGTTCTCTCGCGGCGGCGAAGGAGAACGACGCGGCGCTCGAGCTCATCGCGGCCGCGGCGAACGCGCGCTGCAGAGCCGCGGGCAAGCCCCCGCCGCGGCCCAAGCCCGGCCGCGGCAAGGGCGCCGAGGCCACGGAGCAGCTCAAGGCGCTCCTCGCGCCGCCGGCGCCGCCCGGGGCCGCGCGGCCCGCGTGGGGCGGCGGCGCCGCGGCGTCCGCGGCCGTCGCCGTCGACGTCGAGGACCTCGCCGCGGCGGCCTTCTGCTGCGTCGAGGCGACGCAGCGCACGCGCAAGGGCGGGCCTTTGGAGCACGTGCTCGCGCTCCAGACGCTCGTGGGTCGGCTGGCCGACGCGTCGGACGCGGGCCTCGAGGAGCTCCTGTCCGTCGTCGCCGAGGCCGCCGCGCGCGCGAAGCTGCCGGCCCTGGACGCGCTGGCCGTCGCCGTCCAGGCCGCGGCGCGCTGCGGCGTTCCGGGGGGCGCGCCGCGCGCGCTCGACGCGCTCGCGGCGTGCGTCGGCGCAGAGAGGCGCCGCGAGCTCGACCGGTTGCCGGCGCTCGCGGCGCTCGCGGCCGCGCTGCCGCCCCGGCCCGCGGGCCCGGCGTCTACGCGCCTCGGCGCCGTCGTCGAGGCCGCGCTCGCGGGCGCCGAGGACCACGGCCTGGCGCCCGTGGGCGGCGAACTCGCGACGTTCGGCGCGGCGGCCGCGGGCGCGTTGGGCATCGGCCGCTTCCTCAAGGCCAACCAGGCCGCGCGGCGCGTCGGCGACGGCGCCGAGGTCCTCGTCTTCTTCGTCATCGGCGGGCTGACCCTCGCGGAGCTGCGGGACGTCGGCGACGTCCTTTCGCGCCACCCGGGCAAACGCGTCGTCTTGGGGTCCACGGGCCTCGCGACGGCCGACGCCGTCGCCGCGCGCCTCTTCCCCGGCTTTTAGAGAAAAACTTTACTGGATGATCTCCGACGGCGCGCCGTCGGCGTCGTCGTCGAGGAGCGCGCGGGCGTCGTCGCGGGGGAGGCCGGGCGGCGGCGTCGACGGCCACCAGGCGCGGCCCCGCGACAGGGACAGGAGCGCGGGCGTCAAAAATGTGCGGACCACAAAAGTGTCGAAGAGCACGGACACGCCGAGGATGAAGGCCGCCTGGTTCAGAATCGTCGTCTCGGAAAGCAACAACCCGCCGAAGGCGATGGCCATGATGAGCCCCGCCGCGGAGATGATGAGCCCCGTGCGCTCGATGGCCTCGAGCGTCGCGCTCCGGTCGTCCATGGCGTCGGCGAAGCGGTACTCGTGGACGCGCGCGAGGAGGAAGACGTCGTAGTCCAACGCCAAACCGACGACGATGGTGAAGCAGAGCAGCGGCGCGAGCCACGACACGCCCGGGTGCGCCGTACGGGTGGTCAAGAACGCGGGCAACTCGGACTGGGCCGCGCGCTGGTAGACCATGACCGTCGCGCCGAAGGCGAAGGATAACGTCAGACACAAGGCGCAGACGGACCGCAGCGCCACGGCCAACGACCGGAACGAGAGCGTCAACAGCACGAAGACCGCGCCGAGGGTTATCGCGATCACCCCCGGGAAGTTGCCGTAGAGGTCGTCGATGACGTCCTTGAGCCCGCCCGCGAAGCCGTAGACGTAGGGCGCCACGCCCAGGGCTTTCAGTCGCGACGCGTCGGCGGTCCGCGCCTTGGCGACCCACGCGAAGCCCGCGGGCGAGTAAGGGGAAGCGTCCAATAACACGGTCGCCGTCACGGCGTCGCGGCTCGCGCTGAGCGACGTTTGAAGGAGGCCGAGCAGCGACGCGCACCTGGCCGTCTTCGGCGGCGTCCCCGCAGCGACGCACGCCGCGTAGTCCGCGACGGCGACGCGGTCGTCGCCGAGGCGCGTCGGCGACACGACGCGCAGCTGTTGACCTAAATTTCCCAGCGTGCCGAAGAGATACTCGTCCACGGCGTCGAGGAGCTCGTCATCCAAAGCGCCACCGGCGCGGCCCCGCGCGTCGAACAACACGGTGAACGGCGCCACGGCGCCCGCGCCGAAGTCGTCGCCGAGGCGCACCAGCGCTCTTTCGGGCCCCGACGGCGACGGCGCCGTCATCACCGGGTCCGCGCCCGTCTGCAGGGTCAGGGCGTAGCGCGACACGGGGAACGCGACGGCGACGACGAGCAGCACGACGGCCGCGGCGACGCGGCGGTCGTCCCAGATCGCGGCGCCGACCGCGCGCCACGCGTTGCCTTTCTTCGCGACGACCGTCGTGCCCTCGGAGCCGGCGTCGTCGTCGTCGACCGCGGTCCCATCCAACAAAGGCGCCTCGAGGCCCGCGGCCGAGGGCCGGTGCGCCGCGGCCCGCTTCGCGCAGGCCCAACCGACGAACCGCTCCTGCGACGCCGCGAGGCGTTCGCCGCAGACGTGGAGCAGCGCCGGCGACAGCGTCAGGTTCATGGCCATGGCCGTGCAGAGCCCCACGGACACGCAGACGCCGATGCCCCGCAACAGCGCCGACGGGAACACGAGCAACCCCAGGAAGCACGCGACCAACGTGCTCCCGGACACCAAAATCGTGTGCCCCGCGCCGCCGACGACCTTGAGCACGCGCCGCGCCTCGTCGGCGACGCCGTCGCGCCGCGCCTCCAGGTAGCGCGAGCAGATGAAGAGCGAGTAGTCGAAGGACATGGCGAGCGTCAGCGTCATCATCACCTGGGCAGGAAGAGGGTGCGAAATTCCCAAATTCAAAGGCTCGCCTCTCGGCCGTTTTCCACTCGTTTCGGCTGATCTTTGGACGCGCGATCATCGCTCGGAGCGCTCTCGAAGCGTGGATGCTTTTCCCGAACGCGCGCGCGCGGAACACTCATATTGAAGCGAACCTGAACCACCCTTTCCCGCCCTCGTCATCACCGACGGCGCGAACGCCGCGACCTGCATGCGCCGCGCGACCTGGGCCATGATGACGAATTCTAAAACCGTCGTGCAGGCCATGTTGAGCACGGGGATGAGGAGCATGGGGAAGGAGCCGAGCGTGAGGGCCATGACGATCAACGCGAGCGGCAGCGACCGCATGTCGAGATTCTCCAGATCTTTCTGCGCGCCGGCCGTCGACGCGACGGTGAAGCAGTCCCAGCCCGTGACGCCGACGCGGAACGTGCCGAGGCCTAAAACAGTCTTCGCGAGCTCATTCACTTTGTCCTGCGCGAAGTTGACGAAGGCCGTCATCTTGTCGGGGTCCGCGTTCTGTTTGTAATTGACGACGAACGTCGCCGCCGTCGACGAACCCAAACCGCCCGTCGCCGTCGGGGCGTCGACGAGGTTGCCCGCGAGGTACGTCGCGTTCCGGGCCGTCAATAGACACCAGGCCTCCGGGTCGCCCTTCAAAAAGTCGTCGCCGCCGTAGTCGTTCACGATCGCCGCGGACAGTCGGTCCTCGAAGGCGCACCAGCGGTCGCGGTGCGTCGCGAGCGTCGCGCCGCGCTTCGCCTCGACCAAGACGATCATGGACCCCACGGACACGGACCCGGGGAACGTGGCCTTGAGCTTGCCGAACGCCTCCTCGCTCGGCGATCCGGCGACGAGCTGAT